GTATCTCTACAAAGAGCTGGTGAATTTTAGCCCCAAACAAAGCAGCTTAATATCAGAGTTAGGAGGTATAACCAACGCTATCACAGAACGCACGGACACTGTTGACTCAGCTTTCCGAAACACTGAGAACGATCTCAGAACCACTTCCGTGGTTTTCAGGCACCAAGCTGAAAACCGCTGCTCTAATCCAAGCAGAATTACCTCCCAGGAAAAGGACGCTGGTAGATCTCCTGTACGCCAACTCTGTTAATAAATTACTAAGCTGGGGGCTTAACATATTCACACTCTAATTTCACTTTGTCTAATTAAGAAACTAATGAAGTTTCTTCTGCCTTACTGTGAGTTCTTTAAAAACAAACTTGTATCTATGTACCTTTCTTACTAAAACCTGGACTCAGGTTCACAGCAGGAATTCAAAGATGCTGAACTATATTTTCATTTTTCACCTTTCACCCAAACTACTGATTTTCTTCAAATAGCAGAAATAATTTTAGGTACCACATCATCTACAAACAAATATGATACCGTCCCAGAGATCTCTACTGTTGTCATGTGAAAATGGGTAGCCAGAATTCTTTTTTAATGAAAAAAGTTACCTAAAGGGATGAAGTACAACCAATTCAATCATGGTTTCCTGTTTAAACTCACCTGATTCTACCACTGTAATCTCTCTCCTATTTGAATTTTCTTCTCTACTCTACTTCTGCCTCCACTCAGCAATCAATGCTTGAACCACAGCCTCCAGTGCCTCCTTTTCAAACCGCTGCTAGCTTTCTCGAGTACAGTTTTGTTGACATTATGCCACTTGCTCAAAACCTTACACGAAACCGCTATCAGCCATAGCTCTCAAAGGCCCTTCCTGATCAGACTTACCTCTCTGACTTTATTCCCACAAGGCCAATCACGTAACTCCCTGCTCTGCAAACACATCTCATGCTTCCCACTTCTGCACCCTGATGCTATTTCCCAGGCCTTACAGGCCTCTCCCCCTCATCTCTCCATGCCTACATTTTATCCACCTTTCCAAATCAGCTCAAAAAGCCATCTCCTCACCAATGCTTCCCCCAATTGCTCCAATGAAAACAAATCTCATTCCTCTTCTTGTAACCATATAGGATTTTCTCTGTACCTCCAGTATGACTTTGTCTTTTGGATTATGGTTGTGTCTTAGCCCCCCTTCAAGAGCAGAAGAATCCTTGAGGACAAGATTTGAGACTAATTTCCCCTTGCATACAGATGCACTCAAATGATAAATGAAGTAACTAATTTCCTTGGGGAAAAAATATAATAAGATACTTCTTTAATGGGCAGTAAAGACAAAAAACAGGTTGGAGAAAATTTGAAAGTCTCTCTACTACTTCTTCTCTAAGTAAATTAATCCACACAGTAGAATTTTTTATGTATTTTAAAATACTGGCATTCAAAAATAACATTTTATAGTTTAATAAGACTGATGTCCCTATCTCATTTAATTCCCATAACGCTATCCTAACATAGGTATCCTCATGAGCCACATTTTATACGTAAGGAAACAGCTTTAGAGAAGGCAACCTGTCACCAGAGGGAGAGAGAAGACTGGAGTCTTCTGATTCCAAGTATGAGTTCTTTCCGCTAAATCACAATAAAAGACCTTAAAATTTTACTAAAAAACATAAAAAGAAAATGAAAGTTCTTCTCTTTCCTACCTTCTCACCCTAAAGTGACTTCTCTCAAAAGCCTTTTAAAATATGCGTTGAAGATCTTGAATTAAGAAACAGAGAAATGTAATAAAAATGGCCTAAAGGTCACAAGACCCAGTCCCAGCTGTGCCCCCCTTTCTACGTACATACGACTTCAGCGAAGTCCCATCTCTCCACGTCAATCTTCCTAATTGGAAACTGGGAGCGATAGTACCGACAGACTAAGTTCACATTACTGTGAGATGGTGAGCCCATGAATGGGGAGGACTGTGGAAGAGTATCGATGAGAGTGAAGAAGCACGCGACAGCACCCACGAAAGAACGTCCCACCACCCAACCCCCAAACCTGTCACTCCTGTAAGCCCGACGAGCAGCTCATGCTTTATCGGTTTCAAAACGTTACTCCTCCAATCAGGTTAGTTGATGTAGGAAATCTAAAAGTGAAAAACACTGTCCAAGACTACCTTTGGGATCCTTTCCAGGTCCAATTTTATCTAATTTTAAGAAAGCATTAATAAAGTACCCCAAATGCATTATGTTCAGAATCAGATTTGTTATCCACTGTCCAATTCTCTTACTCTCCACCTCTGGCTAACAGTACCATCTTCCCAGTGACCCAAACTGACACATCTGGCAATCATGTTATAACACCAGGGCCTGTCTACTACACCTCACTGTCTATTACACAGGAAAGAGGCTGAATTCTAAAACTAGATCTGGATACAAATCCCACTTAGGCCACTGTCTAGGTGTGGGCCTCAGGCCAGTCCAGTGACCCTCTGTAAGCCAATCTCCTCTTTAAAACAAGGATAATACCACCAACTCTGCAGGGTTGTATAAAGATTATCAGTAACATATGCGCCCAGTTAGGATCTGGCACACAGCCGGTACCCAATAAACAGATCACGATTCCTGCTTCAGAACTGCTTTATGGACTAAATGAGGACATAAGGAGAAGGCCTAAACAATGTCTTGGCAGGTACAGCAGGCATCAAATAAAAGTTTGTCACCTCCTCTTCACTGTACTCCTTTCCTCTTTCTACTGTATCATTTCAGGCCTCGTCTTTCTCAGCGAAATCACAACAGCATCCTACACTGATCTCCGTGCTTGTAACCACGTGCTTACCAATCCATCACGTGTGTCCTAAAGCACAAACCTAATTACATCAAATATTTCTTAGCTCCCTTCAATGACTGTGCCACTGCTTGCATCACAATATGCACGCTCCTCAGCAGGAACGCAAGGCCCTTCTCAACCTTTCCACTCTTAGCTCTTGTGACTTCCCTCCCCCGCACATAAATTCTCATGCCCAAGCCACAACACTGCCTATCAGCTGTTTCCCAATTGCTCCATGCTTTCATGCCTCCAAGCGTCCCTAGAATGTTCTATCATGATGAGGTCTACTCATTCCTCAGAACATACATAGCTCAAGCACCATCTTTTCTTCAAAGCTTTCCTTGACCCTAGAATTTTCCTTGGTATTCCAAAGGTCCTTCTGCATACTTCATTCACGAACCATTCTAATTTTGCTGACCTTGTTTCTAGTAGCTCAGGCCCAGTTGTGATGTCCTGGAAGGCAAGGGATGGGCCTTTTCATGTTCGTATTATCTCCAGTGCCTAGCATAGCACCTGTGCTGAAAACATGTTTGATGGTTTTTGTGATATCCCCTTAACATTGTTCCCATGAATACTGGCAATCTAGAAAATTGAAAAATAAAAGTGGCACTGTGAACATAAAATATTTCTAGAAACTTTTTGAGATTTTTTAAAAAATCCAATTAATTCTAAAACATCTCAAAAAGATTAAAAAATGCTGAGATAAAATTCATGCAAATGCTCATATTGGAAAGTATATCAGGCCAAATTATCTAAGGAAAAAAATGTATGGGATCTAAATATTTATAAATATTTATCCATAAAATCTAAAGAAAATTTCAAACATGAGGAATCCTTGACTATGTTCTCATTTTCAAAAGATATAAAAGAAAATCTAGCAAAAGCTGTCTTAGTTAACGGTAAAATATTTTTATCTTGGTTGAGTAGAACAAAATCTTACTGGTATGCATATGATTTTCATTTTTAAAAAAGAGATTTAAAAAGTTATCTCCTATTTTCAAATGACTGAAATTTTTTTCAAAAATGAAACAGATTGTGTAAATTTACACTATCAATCATCACAAGGATTGACTTTATATTTTATATAATCTATAAATACTATCTGCAGAATTGCTATAAATGTACTTGATAAATAATACAGAAATCAAAAATACCAGTCTGGATAATGTGCCTTGAACGTACTTGTTTAAAATTGAGTCCCTTTCCATTAGACAAAGGAAACAGATAAACTGTAGCATTTAGTATAAAAGGAAGAGCACTAATCAACTCTTTTTCAAAAATACTAGAACATGCGATTTGTGCTTTTTAAATTCCAAATATAACTCACTGTATTTAGCACCTCCTGTACTTTCCAGTATATTAGATAATTGCACACCAAGTTAAAAACAAAATAAAGGAAAACATTCCTGCCACCCACCCTTTTCATAAAACAAATGGAAATATTAAACACACACAGAGCACCTTGTAAAGGTCAGTATGACTAGCCCCAAAGAAAGCTGTTTTTTCTTAATTTAAAAAATTTGTTTGAGGATTTAGAGGACTTGGGGGGCAAGGGAGACAAGACAGGAGAATTGTGTGATTATTGGTTTTAGCAAAAAAGATGGGTTAGTAATTTTCAAGTCCTGCTCTGGAGAACCACATAGGGGCCTCAGTCGCTGGGGGCTCTCGACCCCTACATTAATCAGAGAAAGTCCATTTCTTTGTCCGTTTATGGACTGAGCTTCTGAAAAAGATGTTGTTTGAACAAGAACAGTGTCCATAGCTTTAAAAAGTCTGAAAATCACTAAGAAGATTTAACCAATACTCAATGGATAATATTGGTATCAACATCTAATAAACAAAAAGATAAACAGGAAGTATTCAATACACAAAAAATGGTTTTAAAATGTGGTAAAACATTAAGAATAGGAAAGACTAACATCCATAGTTGCTTTACCTTTATGAATGTTTGTTTCTTTTACTTCTGATCAGAGATTTATTGGGTACATTGTTTGCTTAGGGAGGGGAACATGCAAGTTAAGCTTTTTCAACTTGGTTTTGGCAGGAAGACAATAGATGGTTTTAACAAGGAATTGGCTGTGAACCCCAGGCAAACAGCTGTGGAAGGGGAAGATATGTTCAAGATGAGAGGCGACATTATGGGGTATGTTTGTTTAGGTGGATGGGAGGGGACCCACTAAATAATATTGGGGTGGGGTACACACCTTTCCGACTTTGGAGATCTCTAGAAAGAATCATATCCTTTCCCAAGGACACTTCTGATTCTTGGCATCTAAATTCTCCTATGCCGCCACTTCTAAGCTGATTAATAACTGCCATCAAAAATCAGAAATTAGTGTTTACAGTAACTTATGAAAAGTCATTTTCTAAAAAAATCAGACTATAAAGAACATCAACCATTTTATATGCTTGTTTTCTCTGATGAAAAAGCTACAGAACTAAAAGCTTCTTTGCCAATGACTTGGCCATGATAAAGGAGATGGCTAGCATGGACCAACTTCCACCATTCTTTCTCTTTCCTCAGCTAAGACTGTGACAGAGAAGAGGATAAAGTTTCAAAATCATCATTTTTTCCCCTCAGCAAAATGCTTGAGTAGCTAGTGAGATGATGAGCGAGTTTCCCATTTGCCAAACTTTTTATAATGTGGAAATTACAACAGAGAATGTAACTAAGTCTCTCCACATTGACTCATTAATTTCAAAAGATCAAGATCAGGAGAAAAAAACATTAATTAGCATTTGCATTTTGAAAGCAAACTATACGACTACACACTGATAAAAAATAATCCTTTCCATTTGGTTAAAAAAAATTGATGCCAGATGAACAATAATTTTAATCACTTTAAATTAGTATCATTTCATTCCTAACATCAATGGATACTCTTCTGAAGGTTTAGAAATAAAAATAATGCGAGTTTGTTCCAAACATAGGGAAGCCAAATGTTTCTGTCATACACACACTCTCTAAACTTGGTCCTTTACTTATCTATCACGTGGTTATCTATTTAATAAGATATCAAGAACCAAAACCCTAGCTTCTTCCCTATGGTAAAATGATGGTGACACAACAATTCTATACCTACAATAGAATGCCAATAAAATACTGGGTGCCTGCGAGGAAAACACAGTGACTCAGAAAGATGACCTACATACAAGACTGTACATACAGGCAGACCTTCCTTCGCTATTTTCTGGACTTACTGACAAACCAGGAGAAGCGCCAGTGGTTACTTTCTCAAAATAGATAAGATATGAAAGCTATGCACAAATTATTTATAGAGGTATTAATTTCCTCAAAAGAAGATCTAACATAAACCATCTATAGGAGTAATAATGTAGTTCTGGATGCCAAAACGTCTTCTTGCTCTCAAATTCATATTTGAAATAGACTAACACATGGGCTAGATGTTTCGATTCTTTTTAGAGCAAGGCAAAGTATAAATAAAATTTAACATATCTATAATAGGTTTTAAAATTCCATACCTTCAACAAGATAGCAAATTTTAATCTCACTATGTAAGTCCTTCCGCTTAAAATACATAAATAAAACTTGTTTATAGCACATTTGCATCAAGGTCACTACTAAAAACACAACAAAGGCAAGAGTAATGAGTAATCATATTTATATTATCTTATATATAATATTTATTTTCTGGTTATAAAATCTATCACCCTAAAGAGATAGCCACACATCCGTGTATTTCTTTGCCTAGTTTTTAAACAAAAACAAAAACAGAGCTCATCTCTGACACATACACATCAGACTGTTTTTTAAAACAGTAATTTAAAAGTGAATTATTTCTACATGTCTTTCTAACCACCACGCAGTGTCAGAGGACATGCAATTCATGGCTTGTACCACCCGAGGGCACTCCTAAAATCTTTCAACAACTTTTAGAATCAAATTTTTATCTACTAGGATGAAGAAATCTAGTGCTACTTGCAGTTCATGGGCTGGGTACTGGCTTAAAAAAGGTGTTTCAGAAAATGCGTTTCTTCATAAAGAGTGAGACGATAATAAATATGCATAATTTCTATCCACTGCATAGTCTCTGGGCCTCACGTCCTTGCAACAAGTTGAGGTTCTAGAGCACGATGAACATTTTACCTAAATAACTTCAAATGAGAGGGTTAAAAAATCACTAACTAATCAATCTCATAAGATGACCCTTCTAGACTATGTTTATCATCAACAAACAGAAGTTCACATTTTTGTAGAAAACAATAGAAATTTAAGAAATACTTAAAATACTTCTATGATTTAAAAGTTGGTCAGAAAAGATTAGCTTTAACACATACATGGCACTCCAAGTCAAGGAAACAAGGAAACCACGGGCACCTTACCTGTTTCCTGGGAATTCAACACCTCTAAGGCATGCATCATGGCACTTGCGAAGACATTGGCATCCTCTTTGCTGCCAAAGTTGAGACCATACACCTGTCTAGCATCTCGCCACTGGTGGAAGGTCTGTGTAGCCTGATTGTACTTCAACCCTTTAGGAATGGCACAGTTTATCACGACCTAAAAGACAGGAATTCTTCATAAAGTCAAGCTAGTAACTGGTAAAACCAACAAAGTCAACAAGTCCTGACTGGACATATTCATTCAAACATGTTCCTGACAAACTTTGGCAAAAAATAGTTAAAGCAGTTACCTAAGGTAAAATCAGGTGCAGAAATAACCATGAGATGGAAGTTCAGCTGCCTGATGGTTACAAAGGTCTGCAAATCAGCAAAATCAATCTATATCCCTCATTAAATATATTTTAACATGTTTACTGAAGTACGATAAACTCAGAAAAACATAAGCATGTATCTCAGCGAACATTCCTGTGTAGCCAAAACCTGCTCAAGAAATAGGACGTTAACATCAGGAACCTCCTTTGTAACTCCTCCCACCTCCGGAAAAGCACTAGCCACACTTCTAACACCATAGATTACTTTTGTAGGTTTTTGGTTTTTACATAAATGGAGTTACACAATATATACTGTAATTGCCTTCTTTCCTGCAAAATTGTTTACAGTCCTCTATTTGCTGCAGGTAATTGTGGTTTATTCTTTCGCATTGCTCTATGGTATTCCGTTGTATAAATCATGTTTGTTTATCCAGCCTCTCATTAATAGACATTTGGATTATCTGCAGTTTGAGGCTATTAAAAATAGTGATGTCATGAACATCCTACTAAATACTAAAGGTCTTTTGGTACACATGAGCACACATTTCTGTTGGGCATTTACCCCGGAGCAGAACTGTCACAAGCCATATATATGTTTAACTTTAGCGGAAAACTCCAAGTAGCTTTCCAAATTGGTTCCGTCAATTTTCACTTCCACAGCACCATACAACAGCTTGCACAACTACACATACTGAGTTGTCCATCTTTTTCTTTATTGATTTGTAAGAGTCCTTTATACATTCTGGATATGATCCCACTGTTGGTTATCTGGGTTGCAAATATCTTCTCCGTTTCTTTGGCTTGTCTTTTCACTCTCTTAATGGGTGTCTTTTTTTTTTTTTTTTTTTAGATTTTTTTATTTTTTCCTTTTTCTCCCCAAAGACCCCCGGTACATAGTTGTGTATTCTTCGTTGTGGGTCCTTCTAGTTGTGGCATGTGGGACGCTGCCTCAGCGTGGTCTGATGAGCAGTGCCATGTCCGCGCCCAGGATTGGAACTAATGAAACACTGGGCCGCCTGCAGCGGAGCGCGTGAACTTAACCACTCGGCCACGGGGCCAGCCCCTTAATGGGTGTCTTTTGATGAACAGAAGTTTTTAACTTTTATTCAGTCCAAATGAGCAATCTTTCCCTTAATAGTTAATGCTTTTTGTAACCTGTTTAAGAAATGTTTCTCAACCCCAAGGTCATGAAAATATTATCCCATATTATTTTAGAGAAGCTTTATTGTTTTAACTTTCATATTTGCATCTCCCATCCAACTGGAATCGACTTATGCCTACGGTGTGAAATAAGGTTCAATATGGTTCTCCAACTGATCAGCACTATTTATTAACTGTGCTGTAGGTTTACCGTTTTCATAAATCAAGTGTCTAAATGGCTCTCTTTTGTTCTGCTGGTCAACAGGCCTATCTCTGAGCCAACATCACAGTGTCTTAATTATTGCTGCTTTATCCTAAGTCTTGAGAGCCACAGAAAACATCCTCCTACAGTGCTCTGGCCAGGCTCAGTCCTTAGTGTGTGGCTACAATTTTATATCAGATTATCAATTTTGTGTTATTCATCCAATCTGCAGTCTCTGCTTTTAATCAGAGTACTCAGTCCCTTTACATTTAATGTAAATACATTTGGGTCTAAATCTAGCATACTTTCCTTTAGAGTTTATTATTATTGCACCCTCTGTTACTTCATGAATTATACGTGTTTTTACTGTTATTTCAGTGGTTGCCCTGGAGACGACAACAGGCATCTTAAACTTATCAAAAGCAGATAAAAACTAGTAGTTTTCCCTTTCCCTCAACACAAAAACTTCACCATACGTTTTCTCCAACAGCACTCCATCTCCCACGTCCATCTCAGGACTCCTATGCTATTTCTACCAGGTTTTAAAATTCTACATGTATTTTTAACCCCACAAAACACATTAGTAGTTTTATACAGTTGACGATCACTTAGGATTTACTCTATATTTACACTTTCTGTTGCTTTTTATTCCTTCTGCCTTCTCCAAACTTCTGTTGGGACCATTTTTGATCTTAAAGAACGCACTTTAGCATTTCTTTCAATGCAGATCTCCTGGTGATGGATTCTCTCCATTTTTCTTTGTCAGGAAATGTCTTTATTTCACCTTCATTTCTGAAGAATACTTTTATTAGATATGGAATTTTAAGTGGTCATTATTTTCCTTCAGTACTCTGAAATCCACTGGCTTCTAGCTTTTGTTGTTTCTATTGAGAAATCAGCTAAAAGTTTATTGTAGCTTATTTAAAATAGTTTTTTTGCACTTGTATTTAGTTTAGTAATCTTAATATGATGGGTTTATATATGGTTTTGTGTTTATCCCACTTAAGGTTTATAGCATTTCTAAGTTTATGGTTCTTTGATCACTTCTGAAAATTTTTGTTCATTCTCTCTTCCATTATTGTTTCTGCCTCAATCTGTCCTCTACTCTGGGATTCTAATTACACACACATTATGAGTTATTTTTACTGTATTCCCTAAGTCTCTTAAGCTTTTTTTATGTATCTATATTCTTCTCTCTCAGATTAGCTTAGTGTCAGTCTGAATATTTTCTTCTGATCTATATTCCAGTTTACTAATTCTTTTCAGCTCTTTATAATCTGTTGTAAAACCCGTCACTGAGTTGTTACTGTTAATAGCAGTTATTTTTCAATTCTAAAATTTTCATTTGGTTCTCTTTTCAAGTTTCCAGCTCTGCTGAAATTCCCTATGTTGTCTTTTATTTCCTTGAGTATATTAAGTACATTCTTTTAAAATCAATTTCTGATAATTCCATTAACTGTCTTCCCAGAGGGTCTGTTCTAGCGCTGTTCCTCCTGTCGCCTCGTATGGCTGGCTATTCTGACTGAGTGCCAGACACTGTGCATGGACAGTTGTATGGAAATTCTGAAGCCTACAATGATGTTATATTTTTCCAGGGAAGATTTACATCTGCTTTTGGCAAGCAGCTAGGGAAACTAACAATCTCACATCACTTTAATCCAAAAGCGATTGGAATGATTAGAGGCTGGGTTTCAGTTCCTTCAAAGGTCAGTCTAATTCTGACTCAAACTTCTTCCCAGGGTTTGGGGCTCCTGGGTCTCAAATCACGGCCTGGGGGATTACCAAGACAACCCTCCCCTCATTAGAAGGCCTTAACTTCTAATTTTTGTTCTATTAGCTCCATGAGTCTGCCAAAAGCTTTGCTCAGCTCCTCAGCCCCCCTTTCAAATCTGACACATGCCTCTAGGCAGAGAGGTCCAATCTGGGCTCACTTCTCTGGTTCTTTCTGGTTTCAGATCATGGACCCATAATTCTTCACAGTCATGTGAGCCCTTGAAATAGATTTTTTTCTTTTTAATTATTTTATCCAATTGTTTTAGTTCTCAGAGAAAGGCTCTATCTAAATTACCTCATCCCAGCAACACTCAAATTTGAAATTATTTTAAAACTATGACGACCTCTTAAAGACATTATGCTACGTGAAATAAGCTAAATGAATTTTAAACTTCCAATATAAGGAATTTTACAATTTGAATCAATTATTTCATTCATTTCTAACTTTCAAGGATAGACAATCCTGTAAATAATCTCAAAAAGCTTTAAAGGCTTTTACAGCTTTAACAACTGGATTTTCATAAGCATGTCATCAGGTTTGGACTTCCTCATAATCCTAAATTCTGCACTTCAGACCCAATGAGCTTCAGTCTAGATTAGAGGCGCTGCTCCATCCTCCACACGCCCATCCATTTTGGCCTGATCATAACACAGAAAATCACGCAGTAAACATTTACTCCTCCCTGTGACTTGGTTCAATATCTTACCTTGTCTATGAAGTCATCCACGATCCTCTTCCCCATCTTCTCAACAAACTGATGATTCTTTCTGTTTTTTTTTTTTTTTTAATACTGAATGTCACTTTGAATTTTGTATTTTTGATGAATGGCCTGCATTTGTCAACTGACTGATGATATGATTTTGCAGACTAAATATCCCTAGTTCCTTTTTTCAGATACTACCCATCCTGGAAAACGCAGGATTCAAGGTCTGTGACCTGAGTTCAAGTCTTGACTCTGCCCGTGGCCATTCCCATCTCTCCCAACACTCCCCTAACAGTTTATTTGGACCGCAAGATGAAAAGCAATGCTCATCAAACATCTTGCTCTAAACTATTTTCAGTCTTACTTCCCTCCATCCAGGCATGCTAGCCTCCATCCATCTCCAACTGCTTCCTCTGCTTGAAGGATAATGCAAACTTCAGGTGGACATTGTGGGCCTTTGTACAAGGGGTCCATCTGCCCCTTTCTCATATCAGCCACTGTGAGAACTCCTACTCGTGCTTAAAGACCCAGATCAAATTCATCTCTGCTCTCAGTGTGCTATGATTTACATTTATCATTACTGAAACAATTTACTGCACTTCTTTCCTCACCTTCTGAACATCCACACTCTCTCCTGTATCTTTCTTTCAAGGTCGGGAATTTTATTACATACATAAAACCTAAACACAGTGCCCAGAACATAATAAGCAGCTAAGTGTTACGCAAAAAAATGAAATATTTTAATATATATTTATATAATTTGTACATATTCAATTTTACAAATAAATGGTGAGGTTTTTTTTAATGGCTCTACAGTGCTTTCTTTCTACACAAAGTTTAGATTTGATTTAATAAATTATAACATGTTTCCACTCAGAACTGACTGACATCCATTAAGAAGTGTAACAAGGTACTCTGGAATGAGAGGAAACCAATTATTTATTAGATTTATTCTTAGGTATATTATCATTTTTGTTACTTTAAGTAGTATCTTCATAGAATTATATTTTCTAATTGTTTATTGCTAGTTATACAAAACTCCTACTGATTTTTATATACTGATCTTGTATCCAGCAACTCTGATGAACAACCTTGTTAGTTCTAATATTTTATCTGCAGATATTTTCGGGATTTTTTATGTAGACAATTATATCATCAGTGAGCAAAGTCAGCTGTTTCTTCTTTTCAATCCTGATAGCTTCCACTTCTTTATCTTAATATGTTACCTCTTCTGCAATGCTAAATGAAAATGGTTAAAGCTGAAATCCTCAATTTATTCCTGAGTTTAATGGAGATCCTCCCAACACCGTACTGTCCTATAAGATGTTTGCTATATATTTATATTATCCATCCTTATCAGCTTGAGAAAATCATTCTTATGCTAAACATGCTGAGAATTATGTAAGAATTTTAATTTTATCAAATTCTTTTCTTGAATCTTGTTTCTTGTACATTTTCCCCTGGTAAATTACATTAGCAGGTTATCTAATGTTAAACTATCCTTACACTACAGAGATAAAGAGAGAGAAACCCTATTTGGTCAAGAGGAAGTCTGGTTTTTTTTTCATATCCATTGCTGCATTTGGTCTGCTAATATCTTACTGAGGACCTTTATATCTATGTTAATATTCAGAATTGAGACTGGCTTATAATTTTCATCTTTCAAACTGATCTATGTTTTAGATACCAAAATTATACCAGCCTCAAAAATCTATTCTTTAGAATAGGTTGCATAAAACAAGCAATTATCTTGAAAGTTTTTAGATTTTGTCTGTAAATGCTATGGATGCTCCCTTGTATTTTTTTAAATTTTGGGGCTAGATTATTAACTATTGATATATTTTATGACTGGAGATCTATTATGCTTTTCTACTTTTTTGCCAATTTTGGTCAATCATATTTTTCTACAAAATGGCCCATTTACTGGCATAAAGCTGTTCATAATATTATCTTATAATTTATTTCCTTAGTATAATTATAGCAATATCTCTTTTCCAATCTTAATATTGTTTATTTGTAACTTTTTTTATTAGACTGTCATTTTTTTCTATTCGGTGGAGCAACTTTTGTGTTAATAATTTCTATTTCTTTTTCTCCCCAAAGCCGCAGTTGTGTATCCTAGTTGTAGGTGATTCTAGTTCTCTTATGTGGGACGCCAGCACAGCATGCCTTGAGGAGCAGTGCTAGGTCCGTGCCCAGGATTTGAACCGGAGAACCGTGGGCCGTCGAAGCAGAGCATGTGAACTTAACCCTTTGGTCACAGGGCCAGCCCCTATTTCTTTTTATTTAATTAGTTTCTTCTTTTATTTTTAGTATTTCCCTCTGCTTTCATTGGGTTAAGCTCATTATATGCCATTAAGATTTGTCCATCTAAGGACAGCTTAGACGTCCTATGGGTTTCTATATGTAATATCTTGTCACTCAGGTCTAAGCATTTTCTTATTTTATAAACATTTTCTAATCTTCATAACGTTTTCATCTTAGTCTCATGAATTATTCATAAGTATGTTTTCAAATGTCCAACCATTTTAAGAAACACTCCATTTTTCAAAAGCTAGAGGAGAGCTTACTTCTCTTATGAATAAAAATTTCAGTGCTTCATATGGAAATGTCCTGACTTACACAAGATTTCTTTCTAATTCTTTTTAAATACTCATTTTCCTTTTTACCAATATTTAGATATTTTTAGGATTGTTTATCAATTCACCAAACTTACCAAAAATGTGTTTATTTTACAGCTACTCGGTTAGAATGTTAAGAACGTTCAACAACCTCTACAAAGTTTTAATTGTCCAGTTTTCATTTGTTCTCTCTAATAGTAGTATTTGATTTGTCCCTGGCCTAACTCACTGCTGGGACACTTTGCTGGACGAAAGATAAAAGAGCAAAGAAAGCACACAGGACAAGCAGGACTACCAACGGGGCAGAGAGGGTTCCTGCTACAGAGACTGGGGAGACCAAAGCAGGCTGTGCAACAGTACATGGAGCAAAAGGCAGATTTGCTAAACTCAGTGAACTGCTCTTTCTGCAAATTGACTCAGGTCTATGAAGTTGTCTCCAGAAGAGCACTGTACTTGTTTCTGCCAGGTGCCCCAAGAGTTTCACTGGCCTGCAACCAGTATGCGTTCATTCCTTGACTGGAGTTGTGTAAGTGAAGTTGGAGGTTCCCACTCTTCAGGGGAGCCCCTAACCCAGCTCAGACAGAAAAGAACTCCTCTGCTTACCTGTGCCAATAGAAGGACTTTTCTTAGTTCTTTTTTACAGTGCGCAGCCTCTCTAAGAGTCCCAGCTTTATGCAGAGACACCAGTTTCAAAGCCCAACCTCAGAGGCCCAGTCTCTACATGCACATATGACAAACCTAACTCCCTAGCTACGGCCAGTTCATCATCTCCATCCTAAAAGCGCAGGGCTGGGCAGCAGCTGTTTACACAGCACCCTGTTTCCTAGTGGAAACCCAGGGCTCTACCTTTCTTTAGAAAGAGCTCAGCCGGAAACGTGTTACATTTTTCCCTGCATATCCTCAATGCTGGTTGATTCCACCATCTTGCCAGAACCAAAAGTATCCTGTCAATCTATTCCTTATAAAAGTTCTCACTGCTATTATTATATGCTTAATGCTGGTAAGACCCTATCTACGCTTCCTCCATCTACTGCTCCTGATCGGTTAAGGCCCAAGAAATCAAGTAATCAGATAATCCAGTCACCTTTCCAACAAATCCAGAGCAGGGAATTAGTAAAAGCTTAGTTGTCATCCCAAACGTGAATTACAAAAGCCTAACTATTCTAGCAATCATTATACCTACAATTTTTCTATCAGAGATGAATTTAACAATATTTTCTGAAACTATTCGCACTTTCAATTCCTCCCTCTAGCCCCATTCCAAATTCCTTTGACAGGAAATGAATTCCTTAAACACACAATCTGCTACTTAAGTGGTGTTTCACATTCTCGTTTGTCCTAATTTTACTTTAGATTCCAAAAGCTAGCTAACTAGCTGTAAGGCCAGAGGATCTAAGGAATATTCACAATTCAAACACTGGTATTCATAGTTTTGTACAATCGGTTCTAAATCTTCATCTAAATTCAGGCTTCATGAAAGGTGAAAAGGCTGGGCAGGCAAACCTATAACCAGTTTTTCCTAGAGAGACTGTTCCAACTATAGTTTTAAAGCACTACTTTATTTTGCTGAGTATACCAAGTCCTTTCTAATACTGGGTAACTTTGAGAATTTAACAGACCCTTACCTGATGGTCCTGAATCTTCCTGCCCACCACTCTGAATGTGTTGTTGCCTGTATGGTGATATATATGAACTCTGCTGAACCCAGTTGAGCCACCAGCTGGCACCCACTTCTTATTGGCATCATCATAAACCATCACAGCAGCTCTTGCCTGACAGATACTCTGTTCACTGTAAAAAAAAAAAAAAAAAAAAAAAAAAAAGGTAAACAAGATATTTAAAATACGCTAAGTTTCCCACAAAGCCAGATAAGCCCAAGTTTGCCAAACTAACAGTCAGTCAACAATTAGTGCTTTACTGGGTGCTGGAAACAACAGTGAACAAGAGAGAGGCTTCCCGCCCTTATGGGTACAGTCTAATGGGGAAGACAGACCAGAAAATCAAGTGTAATAAGGGAGCAGCAGAGCTCAGGAGCCACAAAGAGCACTTAGACAAGCAACATGAGGTGTTTTCTTCTAAATCTGAGAATCTAATACGTTCAATAAACTGAGCACAACTGCAAGTGTAAATTAATCTTACAGTTATAAATCAAGTATAATCTAATTGCATATACAATTATAACATTGGTGACCTGGTAGTGATGACCTCTCTTTACTTGCAAAATTATTTTTATCATCAGGCTTGCTTCAAGGCCTATATAACAAATTCTCCTAAGCTCTATCTGCTCCTTGAGATACGGAGTGGCCAGTGACAATCAATGGATGGCACTGTAACTAAGTCCTTGATTCCATCTGGGCAAGGTAACATCCCATGCTGCACATTTCTTCATTTAAAAATGAAAAAGTGGGGCTGGCCCAGTGGTGTAATGGTTAAATTCACGCGCTCCGCTTTGGTGGCCCGGGATTCACTGGTTTGGATCCCGCATGCAGACCTACGCACTGCTCATCAAGCCATGCTGTGGCAGCATCCCACACAGAAAATAGAGGAAGACTGGCACAGATGTTAGCTCAGGGCTAATCTTCCTCAGCAAAAAGAGGAAGACTGGAGGCAGACACTAGCTCAGGGCTAATCTTCCTCAAAAAAAAAAAAAAAGAAAGAAAAGAAAAAGTGAGATGATTTCTAAGGATCTTTCTAGATTTTAAGTTCTAACCTTCACAAATATTAAAGAAGAAAAGATCAATTCCATGACAGAATCTTTAAATCTCAGCTTCATCTCAATTATTTGTTAACAAGTGAGACTGAGATACACAAATAAATAGAATGTAGAGATGATCTTAATTTCATATTAAGCAATATTTTCAGTTTTCAAATATTCCATACTACTACCAGGGAAAAAAAGACTGATTTGAATTTTACTTTATTTCATACCATATTTTATTTTTAAAAAATCAAATACCAAAATTGAGCAACAGAAGAAAACATACATTAACTCTATGCTATTAACAATTAAAAGAACTCAGTCTCCATACAGAAGACTTCTCTGACGCCTGAGCGTAGTGAACAAAGATGCTGCTAAGCAGCTCATCCAACCCCATCTTTAACAAAAGCGTTGCTCATTCCACCAACGTGAGCCCCAACGACCTTACACAGTAAATCATGTGGGTTCTTCCTCAATATTCTCAGAAACAAGAAGTCACTTCCACGCCCTCCCCTCTTACTCACCCTCTGCCCCATCTCTCAACAGTACACCTAAGTGTTTTACTCGACTTGTCAGGTGACTTGATGACAGAAGATGGTGGGAGACCTAAAGAGGTCACAAGAGGAAGCCTTGAAATCCCTTCAGATTAGTGGGGTTCTAACTGTACATAATTTCCCATTACAGAAATTACACAAAAACTAACTTGTAACAATATTTGCGCAGCGCAAACCCTGAAATAAACCCAGTGGTACCGACTAAATCTTTAGGCTGCAGCGAAATTTTTTGGTAAAATAGTTCTGGGGGAAAGGGAATAAAAACAAGCCCATGACTAAAGCTTGAATTATTTTTAAAAGCTTCATTAAAGAGCATTTGTCAGCACAGCAGTTGAAATCTCTTCATCACTCACAACAGAAATTCTTGTTAAGTGACAACATTTACATAACCCGATAGAAAGATTACACGAAACAAGCCGAGGCAAAGTGCCTCTTACAGCATACAATCCACAAAACAAATTTACTACTACTTGTAAATAACAATTCAATAAACAAATCGGTATATTAATATAGAACAGTCTTTTCCAGTTTTCAAAAGTTAGCGTTTTGGGACATACACTGTTTCCCAAGGTTCAAGAAATAATGTCTCTTCAGGAAGTCCCAGTGGGATCAGACAAGCTAAAGCAATAGTTGAACCCCTATTTTATAAATTAGGTCTTTCTGTGCCTCAGAAAAAAAAGTTAAAAAAAATAGAGAGAGAGAAAGTCTAAAACCCGGAGAATTAGACATAATGTCCCAACTTTTCCCTCCATCCTTTTTTTCTCCATTGCTGTAGGGTGGGTTGCTGGAGCCATTCCAAATAGTGAAGCACAGAGTTAATTAAGCTTTGACTAGTGTTTAATCAATCAAGCTATATACAAACCACCTGGTCAGCAATCAAACGTCTGCCCACTTCGATTTCCCTGGGAAGGCTATAGCCATGGAAACAAAGACACCCCCAAATAAACATATCTAAGTAGCCAAGAAAGGCCAAAACTGCAAAAATTAGGTGATTAGTTGATTCGTTTTCTAATGAAATGAAATCTTCAAAATGACATGTTAAGGATACACATCCAACTCTGAAATAAGCCGAGAAGCCAAGATCAAGGAAAGAAATAATAAGATGTGGCTAAGAGCTGAGGTGTTACTGGAGAAGCGGGAACCGCCACGTGGGTATGTGGCAAGCTGTGAAGGCACAGGTTAAGCCAAAATAACTCCGTGGTCCTGGGAGACCTCAGGCACTCAGAGTAAGCCACATCAAGGCCCAGCCAGGAAGGGATGGCACTGCCCACTGGGGTTCTCAGTGACAAATGCAAATCAAATCTTCACGTTCCTGCCCACAGCATCTGAGGACCTCTCCTCCCTGGAGGCAGACGTCTTGTGGTACAGGAAAAAATATTTAGGCTTCGCCTCAGTTCCTGGCACAGAGCTCCTAAAATACTTGGAATCCCCTTGGTGTCAAGTAATTAGTAAATTACTAAGCTATTGGGAAAAGAGGCACTAAATCAGTTCTAAACGAAAATTTCATTTTATCACCAAATGCAACTGGTATTTGTAGTTGATTATACTTCATCTTCCCGATGTTCATTTTGGTATTTTAAAATGAAATATGGCATTAGAAGGCTAGAAAAGCTGGTTAAAAGGTCTAAAAATCATGACACTACATTACAATTTTTGTGGCTTTATCAGGTAGTTCATGTCTGAACACAGTCAAATTTCCTAAACAGGTATACACGATGGCAGAGAACGCTTGCCAAATTCTACTCTCACGGGTACCAGTGAACGAAGTGTTTCCTGGTGTTGAAGCTGACGGAGGATTGCTCGGCTATTCTTGAATATGCTATTTACTGAGGTTGCAATAAAGCCAGGTCTTTGAAAATAGCAACTGCCTTACAAAGACACCACTTGTCAAGGTACAAATATGACAGTGCCTAGTACATAGTAGGCACTCTTCAAATGCTTGTTCAGTGCATAATTTCACCTAACAAAATCCTACTCATCAAGACCTGGATCAAATACCACTCCTTCTGTTAAACCTTTCTGGATGCCCCAAAGCCAGAATTAACTGCTCCCTCCTCTAAGTTCCCATACTCCTCCTCAACTTTCAACAAGGAGGACTCTCGGAGCACATAATATTTGAGCCATGGGAGGGTGTTGGGAACTTACTCCAAGGGCACTGGGAAGCCACTCGATGGCTTTAAGCAGAACATGACTTCCATTTTTAAAATATGACTCTAGCGACTGTGGAGAAGGGATTCAAGACGGAGGCATGGAAATCAAGAAAGGAAGCATGAAGATCAGTGTGAGATGGACTTATGGTGAGACTCGGACTAGACTAGAAACAAAGAGGGAAGCCTGTGGGATAAATACTGGAAGGACGGCAGACAGGCTTTGCTAACAGAAGATGAAAGAGGAGGGGAGGAGAGGGGACAAGCAAAGGCAGGAAAAGAATTATGGATGACATCTGGCATCTTACTGATACTCCCAAAGTAGTACATGACATGTTGTAACATACATCACTACTCAAAGTCATGGTTCCAGTTCATTTATTCTTACATCCACACAAACATGTCTCACCATCTTTGAAAAAGGAGAATGTCATTCATCTTCAAATCCCCAATATGCAACACAGAGCCTGGTCTGTGGTAAGTTATTAAGGTCTGCACAATAACCTCTACTCTACTACCAACCACTTAGAAAGTTTGCCCTGAGAAAGAGAATTAGCACCTCGTCTGTTTTGATACTGAGTCACTCGATGACCTAAGATGTCAGTTACTCAGAAGATAAAATATTAAGGAAGAAATTACACAAAAAAGTTGGGAGTTTTAAACACAGGATTTCCAACTTATTCTCTGATGTCAAATTTTTTGCTCAAGGCTGCAATTTTATAACACTTGAAGCATTAAAAAGGCTCAGAGTAAAGACAATGTTGGATTTCAATTCAGTTCCACAAATATTGTTCCACAGCTCCTAGGGGACAGTAAAATTGAGGTAGGTCATCTCCAATTATAAAAGACTATGCACCCAAACCAGAATAATAAACGTGCATTTTTCTCAAAAAGGAAAGTAAACAATAAACAGCACGTCCTATATTGTGATAAGCACTAGCAGAGTCACGAACAGAGTGCTTTTTCTCTCAGTTTACCACTCTGGACTCTACTCATCCTGCAGACTCCAGAACCCTCCCAGCCCATCACTTGCCCGTGCGCTCAGACACCAAGGCCCATCAATTCTGCTCCTAAAGACATCTAAACTCATTAGGTCCCTCTGTTCACAATGCTCAAAAGCTTTAATTTGGGCACTCCCTAGTTTCTCAACCGGATTATTTCGACAATCTCCTAACTGGTATTTCTGACTGCAATCTTACTCCCTCCTCTCATTGCTTCCAGAGGGACACTTTACGAAATCACCTCTGATCAGATCACTCTTCTGTTCTGGTTAAGACACCCCAAAGGCTCACGTCAGGATAAACTCTGGCTTCATAGCATAGCATACAAGGTCCCCAGTGAACTCACCTCTGTCTTCCTTGACGTTCTTTGTTTGTTTCTTTCAAATGGTGT